CCCCAGCTCCCTAGGCCAAGGCCCTTAACCCCCAGCTCCCTAGGCCAAGGCCCTTAACCCCCAGCTCCCTAGGCCAAGGCCCTTAACCCCCAGCTCCCTAGGCCAAGGCCCTTAACCACCAGCTCCCTAAGCGCTGCTTTGGCTGGCTGCCCTTCATAGCCAGCTTACTCTCGCCTACAGATTAAATATTATTATTAAATTTAATGAGATGTATTTATTAGCCTAATTAGCACAGTTTGGCTGCACTTCTCCAAAGCGCAAACCCAGGATAGAGGGGCTCAGTGAACGTGGTCTGGACCCTGTGCAGGAGGGTCACTGTGTCAGAGACGCTGTAGAAGGACAGAGTTCCTGCCCCGTGATCCAGGTACACTCCTATCCTGGGGGAGGGGGGGCCAGATACCGCGATTTTCACATTATTGTGCTGGAATGAGTAACTAGAGGGATAGCAATACAAACGCCAGGACTTGTCATTGCATCCAAACACACTGTCATCACCCTCTCCTTTCCTGCTGATCCCTTTATATGTGACAGCTAAAGTGACCACAGTCCCACTCCACTCAACTTCCCAGTAGCAGCGCCCAGTCAGACCCTCTGTACACAGCACTTGCTGGCGTGTGTCAAACCTCTCCTGGTGATCAGGATGTGACTGTGTCTCTTCCTTCCATGTCACCACTCTGTTCCCCTCAGACAGATGGAGGTGTCTGTTTGCTGTGTTGGGGTCCAGAGTGAGCTGACAGGAATCTGATGGAGGAGAACATCAGAAGGTGATGGTTTGGTCTTATACACTCCTTACATTGAACAAGAGTGTGTGCTTTTTTGGCATTTTAATGATTTGAAAAGTATAAATAACCAAATAAATGAAATAAATAAATAAAATGTTTACCTGTTCATGTTTATATGGTTATATTCTCAACATAGAGATCACAGAGAACAATATAAAAAGCAAAATAATATAAATATCAGCAATTTCATTGCAAACACATTCAAAGGTTCCTGACATAAACAGCTCATGTAAATGTGAAAGGCCAGGAGGCAGAGGGAGAGAGAAAGAGAAGCTCCACTAGCAGAAGAAAACGAAAGACAATAAAACACACTCCACCTCATACAGGGAGAGAGAAGCGTGTGTGTGAACAGACTCACATTGTAAGAAGTCTGCTCTGGTCCTGGTCACTAATACCGGTAGGATGGTGTCTTTGGTAACTAGAAGGAGACAGAGAGAAACAGGGATGTGAGTAAAAGGAATTTACTTGTAGAGAGAACAACAGTAGGGTATTATTTTTATGAGGGACAATAACAGGCATTTTAACAAACCGCTAATCATTCCGAGTAAAACAATACAAAGTTCTCAAGGTTTTTGGATTGAATTATTTAGAAGAAACGTGATTCATATGATCTACGTTTTGCAGCATGCAGAATGTGAAGCATTATCTTAATGGAAACAGAAACTGACTTGGTCACACAATTGTGAGGCTGATTGTACTGCATAATCTCTCTGCTGTCAAGAGCTGTCCTGGCCATCTCCCAGTTTGACCAGCAGGGGTCACTGCTGGCCCTCCAGATCCTTCTTAATTCTCCTTAGTTGTGTCTTCCTTGTTATCCCCAATCCAATTGTGCTAAACGTTCACGCCTGCATCATGTCAGCCCCTCGTTAGTCATGTGTACAAGTGCTCCCAAGTCCTGTGTTCCCCAGTTCGGTCATTAATGTTAGTCCTCCTGTTACCTTCCCATTATTGGTCTTCCCATTTTGACCACTTATGCTCCTGTTTCTTCTGGCTTAATACAGCCCTTTTCTGTTCTTCTGATACCTGCCCTCAAGTCCTTCATTCCTTCATGTGGCAACTGCATGGTGTATATTAAAATGGACAGACTGGAAAATGTACGTATTTATTAACCTGAGTGATGGATCTCTGCTGTTTTCTTTTCACAAACATTCTCCAGTTGATCCTTCAGTTCAGAAACCACCTTCCTCACGTTCTCAAAAGAGCAGCGTGGATAGACAGAGATTCTGGGTCCAAATCCAGGTTCAGGGGTAACAGGAAGACCCTGGCACCTCTACAGACACACATAAAAACAAATGTATAAATTATATTTTAATAAACTATCATTAATTTCTGACAAATGACAAGTTGAAATACAAAACAAAACATAAACACATCTGAATACTATGTTGTCAGGATCGTTCCCTGTCTTTCCCCGTTTGGCAGGTAGGTGTCGCTGGTCACCCTGTTCTTTATGTGTTTAGTTTGCTTCACTATCCCTAGTGTGTTCCCCAACTCCCAGGGACTCCATGTGGCTGAATGG